TCAGTATTAATCATATAGTAGTATTTGTAGTATTAATATTACCTTGAATTTTTATTAGACAAAACATTGATAAGTACTATTCATTTTTTTACTAGAATTTCTTTCTTCTTCATTTCACTTGCTATCTATCTATCTATCTCTATATCTATCTATCTACACACACACAGACACACACACACACACATATATATATATATATATAGATAGATAGATAGATAGATAGATAGATATCAGGGGAAAATATATGATGATATGCAGGCAGTATTTTGTGAATGCCTGAATATGAGAAAGCATACAGTAATATATCCTGACTTCTGTCAAAGTTAACAGTTGGTGTGACAATTTTTTCTCTATTTGCTGGTTGATAGGCGGATATTTTTTTCGGAATAGTCACTCCCAAAATCTTTTCTCTCTGACAACAATAGTAGCATGCCAGAAAGAAGATCATATTCTCATGATGTACACACACTTATAAAAATGCCACCAAATTAAAACCTGTAAAATATTTTAACATGATATTCACATCAAATAATATCCCAGGCGATATTAAAATTCAGACGGTGTGGGAAAGTGATATAGGAATATTATATTGCGTCATTTTTACAGTTTGGGAAATCGTGTATATCCGTCTTGATACTCAGTATTGAAATCCTATATATTACTATTATTATTATTTTCTTCGGTTTCTGTTGTATATACATTTCCGGTCCCAACTAGTGACCTAAGTTCGGAAATTTCTTCATGACATCATCCACTGATCATTTTTGTAACCACACCCCTAAAATTATATACATTTTACATATATAAAGTACGTCGTATTATGTGAGCTGTACTTGCGAGTATATATTTTTTTTTTTTGTTTGTATTTCTTTAAGGCATGTGCTACCAGGAAACCATTCTAAAAGTCTACGGACCCTTTTCCAATCAATCCGAAGGCTCCAATTACACCTGGAATTATTGATGTCCTCATGTGCTACATTATTATTATTATTATTATTGTTGTTGTTGTTGTTGTTGCTGTTGTTGTTGTTGTTTTTCTGGATCCCAAGTTGAGACCTAAGTTCAGAGATGGCATCATGACATTTTCCACTGATCAGTTTTGAAAAAAAAATCGCACATATTTTACATAGATAAAACCCTTCGTAAGGTGTTGGCTGTACTTGTGAGTACAATTTGTTTTGTATTTCTTTAAGTCATGGGCTACCAGGGATTCGTTCAATGAGTTTATTAGAATCTTTTCCAATCAATCCGAGGGCTCCAACTACAACTGGAATTGTTAATGTCTTCATATGTCACATTTTTTAGATTTTCGATTTCAAGGTTATTGTATTTTGATATTTTTTCAAGATCATCAAATATACATTACAATTTGCAGGGACTGTCATGTCAATAAGGAGGCATATTTTGTCTTTGCGGTTTCTCATTATTATTATTATTATTATTATTATCTGAGCTCATACAAATTAAAAATTGGAGATACTAAAATCAATTATATATAACAATTTAATCATTTGGGAAGTGCTTCAACCGTGAGCCAGAGATGCGATATCGAAATCCAAACGTGCATTTGGATAGTGCTAGATGCCTTCCTGAAACTAAGCAAAATATTAAGAAACCGAAATATTTCTCTATCAACAAAAAAGGGCACTGAACAGTTAAGTAATATCCTATATGGCAATGAATGCTGGACAGTCTCCACATAGTCTTGAAGCATAAGAAATATTGTTAAACAGAAGGATGCTGAAAATACCATGAACGGAACATGTTTTTAGAGAAAATGGAAACAAAAAGGACCATTATAATTAACATCCAAAGTTGAAATTTATTGGGTATATAATGAGGAAAGAGTGATTGGCAAATTTGATATTCACAGGACAGATTGAAGGCAAGAGGGAAATCAACGCATAAGCTACAGAGTGAGCTTCAGTAAATGGATTGCAGACAAAGAGCTAAGTGCGACAATAATAGGAAATTGTAGAGAGTCATGATCATCAACCCACTGAAGTGACAGGGACACATAGAATAAAAAGAAAGAAAAGGAAAAAGAGCTCGTCCACTGGCATCCGAATCAGTCACGAAATACCAATTTAACCCTGCCACAAGTCTAGTCAAATATACATCAATTATATTCAGTTGCCAATTTACGTCCAGTTATATGCGGTAGAAAATTGCCAAATGAAATCTAATTCGTGAATTAATTCACAAGAAGTAGTTTCAGATGGTTTAAGCTAGTCATGAATAATTGATTTATTTGCAATAGAGCGTTTGACACCAACCACATTGGGAATTACTAAATTTACGTACAACAGTTGCATAAGTCAATAAAATAGTTACATAAATAAATAAATAGATGTATATTCATGCGTATGTATAAAATTATATAGAATATGGCACATTTTCTCTTTTCCACGTATATATATATATATATATATATATATATATATATATATATATATATATATAGAGAGAGAGAGAGAGAGAGAGAGAGAGAGAGGAGAGAGAGAGTAGCATTCTGGTCTACTGACAATCTTGGTAGTATATGTAATATAAGTAGTGGTCCAAACTTCGACGCTGTGAAATGTAATTGCTCTGTCTTCGTAACATAGACATTGAGCACTGTTTACTACAGTTTAGGGGGAAAAGGATAAATCATTGCTGGGTTAATAACGAAACTAAGCATGAGAAAAGCACCAATGAAATATTTCTGGCTAGTAAGTGAATAAAAGAAAAAAGAAAGGAAAATATCTCGTGAACTTGACACACTGAAAGCAAAGGAAGCAGAGAGTATCAACTTGACAATTTTGATCAAATCGACTTCTATCTGTCGTATCTGTTCAGAATGTGGGTAGTCATAGCTCTCCACAACTTCCTATGTTTATTAGCTCTTAGGCTTGTCTTTTCGCTGTTAACCCCAATCCCTATTCTGCCGTCCATTTACGCAAGCTGGTTAGGTAAGTTTTACGTTACTTGTTTCTGTCCCCTCTTTCCTTCGTCAAGTCATGTGAGTGTCAAATTCTCTTTCCTCATTATCAGTCCTAAATTTTTAATTATATTTTTCTGATTCTAAATATAAGAGAGCTTTTTGTTCCAATACTACTAATAAAAAGAGGGCGGCATTTCGTAAGTATTTCTGAAAGTAACAAAAGAAAGGAAGCTGTAGAGAGTCATGATCGTCCCCATTCTGTAGAGAAATGGTGTCGAGAGAGAGAGAGAGAGAGAGATAGAGATAGAGAGAGAGAAAGAGATAGTTAGAAAGCGATCAATAATTTCAGTTTAACACATTTCGATCGAAATTTTTGACGGCTATATTTCCGATAAGCATGTATAACCGGTTTGTTTATGTAGATTTTAATACTACTATTCACCTAATACAAGGCCCAAGACCTCCTCCATGTCGAAGTTTACCGTGTGGTGTTATATGAATGTAAAAAAGGGTGAGAAGTTAAGTGTATGAGGTTATTCGTTAAAGATTAACCCTAGATTTGAAGAGGCCAAGATTGTAATGGCTATTTTCTAAGCTCAGCTTAAATGTGGCTTAATGCTAAAATTATGGGATACCCAGTGAGGATCGAACTCACTACTCAGTCACAGTTGGTCTAGCGCAACAAGCTTTCTAACCATTACACCACGTCGAGGTGCACCAAGGTCAAGATTGTAATGATTAAAAAACATTCTGCCGGGTGTCTGTTCCACAAAGTAGTAGTACTTTGGAAGAAGTTTTCCGAGTGGAACTTACTCCTTATTAATGAAATACGAAGGGAATGGGATTGATACCTCCATGGGTGCATAACATGGCGGGTACCCGTTGTAAAGTTCAGAATTGCTGGATTTCTCATCAGAAATCATGCCATGGAAATAGCGATAAAACACCGATAGGCTCGCGATGTTTCTTCTGTGGGAAAGTGGTTGTGGGGTGGAAATAATTAATCACCTACAAGGCCGCGTAGACACTTTTGAACTGAGACAAGCGAAGACTGGGTAGCTCCAGCCCAGCTTTTGACAGTAATACTCCATTTTTGGTTTAATCCGACTCTTGTAAAGATAGGTTTTATTCTATATTAACGCATTTAATAAAATGAATCAAATCTGACACCCGCTGAGTATTGAACTCGAAACCATTGGTGTTTGAAGAGCAACTCGCCTACCGCGGCACCTCAGGGGCTGCAGTGTTAATTACAATATGAACTATTGTTGTTCTCATTTACTGTTAACGCAAAGCAAATGGTTATATAAAATAGATTTTAACAATAGCGTTGTGTATTAGCACATTGTCTACGGCCTAGTTACCCGCTTATTTACACAAGCTTCGTCAGGCCATCTTTTCTCACAAACATGGATATAGGTGAGTGGGGAGTTTATAAGGACACTTATCACATCTCACCCTGATGGATAAGTACGGGTGGAAATGAGAGATGAACAGACAGACAAAATGAGGGAGAGGGTTATAATTATGAGAGAGAAAGCATACAATCGTTTGTAACATACAATGATTGAGCAATTCGACGTGGTGTAATGTTTAGCAAGCTTGTCTCGCTCGATCAATTATAACTGAATAGTGAATTCAATCTTCAATGGGTGCTCCTTAATCTCTAACTTGCGTCACATCTAAGCTACGCTCAGTAAATCACTAAAATAAATAATGTGAAAATATCGCGGATCAGCAACATTTTGATATATATAGAAGCCATTGTTATGGAAAAAAAAAGGCTACGGCGTGTACCATTTGCTAGATTCTCTTGAGTGTCAGGTTTTTTACTACTTATCAACGTTTTTACAGGTTATTTAAAGCTAGAAAATATTTTAGATTGTAAGAATTTTTGAAAGGTAATAATGATTTAAATACTATTATTTGACCCATACCTGGAGGAGAAGAGTTCGATACATACTTTTCCCAAAGGTATTTACGCGTAAGTGCATATAAGGAAGCCGACTGGAATTGCAAATCGGCTCTTCCATTAACAATTCCAAGCGGTTATCTATTACGTCACCGTATATCCAAGCTTACAGTACCTGATAATCCCAAGTAGTCACCCACCTAGGTACTGACCAGGCTCGACCTTTCTTAACTTCGGTTTACGAACGAGAACCGATGTTTCAAAAGTGATATGGCCGTAAGTCTATACTTTATTTATTTATATAACAGTGCTAGTCTCCAACTACTAAAATGTAATGGTCAGTTAACGGGATTTGTAAATTATTGTTATCACTAGTTCGATCCTCACATGGTGGGCCTGGGAGAAAACAGGGTTAAGCTCAGTTAATAAAAAGGAGTGTTATCACGAATTAATCAGTCTCATGAGTTACTGAATGATGTAAATAAATATATGTATATCGTGGGATATATAAGAAAAATTTTACAGGAATACACATCGAGAGCTATAATTTTTCGTGTGACGAGTTTCAACGTTTAGAACGATATTGATTTTCCTAACATTGTTCTCATATATAAAAGTATAAATTTACGTATATATATATATATATATATATATATATATATATATATATATATATATATACACTATTAGAATGGTTCTTGATTGGGACCATATTTAATGATTTCATGCCTATATGTTTGAAACGCGCGTGTGTCTGTGTGCATATGTGTGTCTGTGATTACAGAAGAATATACGTTGGTATATTTATAATCTTTTTAGAATCTTTTATACACACGTACACACACACACACACACACACATATATATATATATATATATATACACACATATATATATATATACAATTCTAAAAGTCACACATAATATCCTATGCCGATGAAACGTTATAAAAAACAAATTTTGTTTAACAAATAAACGTATATATATATATATATATATATATATATATATATATATATATATATATGTTATAAGTATATATATCTTATATATATATATATATATATAACATATATCTATATATGTTATAAATATATATAATGATATATATACATATATACAGTATCTATATATATATATGTTACAAATATAATAATATCTACCATATTTACCTATATGTAACATATATCTATATAATGTTATAAATATATATTATGCTATATAAAGTAATTTGCTCATAATCACTGAAGAGTGGACGAATTGGTCCATTCACGAAACTATGGAGTCTGGGTGCTGAAGTTAACATCAGTCAGCTAAGTGACAATTTTACTCGCATAATTCCCAAATATATATATATATATATATATATATATATATATATATATACAAATGCATATTTACACTTCAATGCATGTAAGAATATCTATATTTTTTCACTTTGATGATGTCTATTTCCATAATTATATAGATTGGACACTGAAATCAACACCTAGTAGTGACAGTCTGTTTCATACTTGAACGCAATCTTCCGCCCTAGAAGATACTTTCTATTTGAAGTAGACGCCTAGTTTTGATTTGTTAAATAATGTGTATTACATCTATCAGCCCCGCGCATTCGAGAAATCCGACTAAAGAAAAGAAATTACATGGCTGGGATCGAACCTGAGTGCATTTTGTCGGGGAAACCACTGTTTGATCCAGTGTACTTTATTGGCTCGAATGCGCGGGCTGGTAGACGTACTACACACTGTTTAATGAATAAAGTACGAAGAATCCACTATAATCATGTTTGGAGTAAGAAAAACATGTCAGATTAAAAACAAATTCATTAATTCTTTAGAAAAAGAAGAAAAATATATACACACGCGAGTGCGCACACAAAAACACAATTCATTAATTTTTTAGAAAAAATATATTATACACACACACACATACGCATATTAAAGAGAAGTGAAAAGAATATATGCATTTACACATACACACACTGAGACACATAGACACACAAACATAGATATGTGTGTGTGTGTGTGTGTGTGTGTGTGTGTGTGTGTGTGTGTGTGGTTGCACGCGCACATATATGTAGATGCATGGATAAATAATTCAGTATTTCAATGGGAAAAGCAAATATATACGCAGACTGCTCCACGTAGTTTTTTAAATACGTTTCGAGTAAGGCGATAATGTCTCTAGGACGCAGCGGGTGAGAGGGAGTGAAAGACAACGAGAAGTGAGGAAAACGACAATAAAGGAAGATGGCGATTGTCATTACATTTCAATTTTTGAACACTGTAGGTAAGCAGGCGAGAAAATAAATTGTTAGAATAGCCAGTTTAGCGGCCAAATCAGGAGCACGCTTAAATTCATAGCAATTCATTTGAGACAATAAGAAATGCAGAAAAACAAAAATCTCAAGAAAAATCAGTATATTTTCTTCAAAATATTATATCCATATTAAAAAAAAAATCAATAAACTTCCCTCAGCCTAGAATATGGTCTCGAAAGCTGTGGCATGCCTGGATCAGGTTCACGTTAATAGTGTTTATCACTTCCAAGGTACTGGTTTCTGAGACCTTGTTATAGTGAAACCTCTGGTTACTCCCCCCCCCCACGCCAACTCTCTTTCTTAAGGAAGTTACATACTGGATCTGATGGTAGCCACATATTCCTGTAACTTACAGGCCAAATGAGATCGACCAGATATCTGCAGGAAACCGTGTAGCGATTTCTTCGATCGAAATCTGGGCCACCCTATCTAGTATTACGGTATATGTTGTGGCACTGACCTAGAGGCCTTAAAGGAGGCAGTTAGGAAGCATGACATCGCCCCACAGACGGCGTGAAATTAGTATACATCCCTGTAGGCTTCTTCGTGCAGGCAGTGCATGTCTACCTGTCATAATTCCCGTTTACCAAGCCAGTTTCAACAAAGTGGCAATTTCCGAGTAGCTGTGGTTGGTGGTTAGTGCCACGAGCCCGGTGGCGTGCTTCTTATTTTATGTTTTAGATTGGAAGCGGCTAAGTTAATGCCCTCGATACGTTAGAAAGACAAATGAGAATGTTAAAACTTTGCGCATGCCGCGTAATATTTCATTAGGTTGGCATCAATATGTAGCCCGTAACAGATGTGCTCTCATATACCTGCCATACCTATATATATATATATATATATATATATATATATTATTTATTTATTTTGTTTATTTATTATATAGTTTCTCTATCGAACGCAGAAATTTGGTCATTTCCAGGGGCAATTAGAAATGAGGAGTAATGGGCCTTATCCTGTCATACTTATCCATGATGGCACCGGGCTTTAATTCGAAGGTCCCCTTTTTTCCGAAAAAAAGTCGCCATATTATTTTATATATATTCAACAAAATGCTGATGTTTGGTTTATTTCGTTGGATTCTATTAGGAAGGTCATAAAGAGATCTCTTCATTATCCCTCCCCTTCACACACCTTCCCCATATATATATATATATATATATATATATATATATATATATATATATATGGGGGAAGGGTGTGTGTGTGTGTGTTCAGTTGTATGGATATGAGTTTGTAACCCCCCCACACACACACATACTGGGTTTCACGCTTTTGCAATCATCAGACAAACTGGTTTATTTTTCTCAAAACAAATGGATCTATAGATGTCTGATGATCGCAAAAGCGTTGAAACCAGGGGTTACAAACTCATATTCATACAAATATTGAGCACTATCCACTAACCGGGCATATATATATATATATATATATATATATATATATATATATATATATATATATATATATATATATATATATATATATATATATATATATATTTCAGGCAGCAATCCTCTTTATAAATGTTTCATGAGAGACAACAGACAAGGTACTGTGATTAAGCTTTTTTTATTTAATTTTACTTGTGTTCGAAGAAGTGTTTTATTTTCTGGACACAGTGTGTGTAGAAACTGTCCAAATGTTCTGTAATTCTGAGCGCTTTTGGTTATACTTTTAACCATTATCAAGGGTGATTTTATTTTTACGTTTTGGATGTATAGGTCGTGTGTATGTATCTAGCGTTATACGGATGTTTTATTTTCCGAACACCGTCAGCATATTGTGACCGTTTTCTTACTTAATATTATTGACGGTTGGCTTTCTATTTTTTTTATTATTTAGGCTTCCATTATTTTTTAATCTTTTTATTTACTTGTATTTTCAACTAATATGTTTTGGATGGAGTCTGGAAACTTTGTGTGTCTGTTTAAATGGATTCAGATGGAGCTGTGGTCGAATAGGTATAACGTAAATCGTCTCGATAGGCTTGTAACAGTGTGACCGATGTAATTATTAATGCGCTCGGTTTGACCAGGAACACAGTTGTTTAAGGAGCATTTGAAATTGTAGATACTATTTCTTCTTTGTAGTTTGGATTTTGCAGGTGTGTTGTTATTTTTGAGGATGCGGTTAGCTATTTTAAATTTTTTGTTGTAGATAAGTTAATTCTTTTGCTCGGGTCACCTGGGATAGTGTATTTCTTTATGATATTTCTAAATGAAGATTCATCTTGTTTATAACTGACGTGCTTATAGTTGTCCGCCATTTTTACATACTGTGTCCAAAAAAGAAAACACTTGTTAGAACACAGGAAAAATTAAATAAAAACTTAATCCCAGTACCTAACCTAGTCTGTCGTCGTTAATGAATATATATATATATATATATATATATATATATATATATATATATATATATATAAACCAAAAATGTAAATGGTAGGGTTTATTCCAGGAGGTTTTTTTTAATATTAAAATATTAAAAGTTAAATCCATGATGAGAGCTGAATGTATAAATTTATATACAGGGCAAAATTAATAAATAATAAGGAAAATACTTAAATATTCATCATATAATCAGTTATAAATTTATTTGAACACATATACATATATGCATACCTGCTTAATCAGACCGACTACATTTTATTAAAATCTTCAGGCCCAAACTTGCGTTTAACCACGAAACAGACTGTCGCTATTTGGTATTCTTCTCAGTGTGTTTGTGTGTGTGTGTGTGTTATTAAAATAGGATATAAAATGACGATAACATACTGTTTCACTGTTTCACAGCTCATCAGTGTGATAGACATCCGACTCAATCTATCTATCTATCTATATATATATATGTGTGTGTGTGTGTGTATGTGTGTGTCTGTGTCTGTGTGTATGTACGCGTGTGTAAAAGTTCATCAGTTTTTTCTCTACGCATATTAAGTCTTTTGTATTTTTGTT